CATTTCCCAAACGTGGGGTAAGATCTCTAATCTAGAAATCTCAGTAAGTCAGTGAGTCCTCAAGGATCTTCCACCCCAAGCTCACTTACATGTGCAATATAAGTTCAAAAGCAGTTTATCATTTATCATTTCAAAAACAATGCAATACAGCAGATAATCATGTCATGTGTGTCAATACTAATCTACTGGCTAGAGACAGTGCATGCATACGTCTATCACCTACACACCGTGCAAGTACCACTTGCATTCACCCCGGTACACCGTCTTGTATGGCGCTACATACTCAGGCTTCCCGTCAAGATGAAACAACACATGCATATTAAAAGCCATTACATGTAAAGTTCAATCAACATATCAAATATCCAAAAGCATGTACACAGCATGCATAAACCATACCCCCATGGGACATGGTGGAACCACAACATAGCTAAACCGAGGACACGAAAGCTTACCTTGCAAGCTAACTCCAAAAGCCAAGAGTCCACAGCTCAAAGTCCAAACACAGCAGATTCACAATCTGTTATGGACCAACAATACATCAGCACATGCACCATAAGCATACAAAATTAAGACAACGCCTTTTCATTACGTTTTCAAGTCTTAAAGCTTCTAACAAAGCCACAAGCCCTTAATCCCATGATTCTGGCTTAGTCCATTAAATACAGAAGTTCAACTTCATCAATCTAGGGTCCACAAACCCCCAATAGCCTACTGTACACACAGCACAGCTACTGTTCTACGAAATCCCAGAATATCCGGATATTCCTCGGGACCATATCCGGATATGCAATATCCGGATATGCAATATCCGGATATCTCACTGGACATATCCGGATATGCAATATCCGGATATTCAGAATCCCATATCCGGATATCTAGTATCCAGATATCCCAAAACCCCATATCCGAATACCCATATCCGGATATTCCACGGGCCGATATCCGGATATTTCACGACAGAATGCAGTTTCTGCATTTTCGTGAAGATATCCTTCCAAGGTTGGGTTTTTACCGATTTTAAACACCTAAACATGCATTTCTAGGTGTGTTCAACATTACCCCACAACAAGTTATCATCTTTTGACCTTAACATGCATCAAGCTTTCATTTTTAAGCATTAAACTCAAGATCAAAGGTTGGTATACATACCAAAGGCTTAAAACAGAGAAGGAGATGCTCTTGGAGCTCAACACAGCCCCTCAAGTCTGACTCAAGAAAGATGCACGAAAATGGCTTCACAAGGGTTGGTTCTTCTCACCAAAGGTCACCACTTGGACCTCCAAAATGCCATAACTATGGCTTTCAGCAACCACACCACCCAAAACAGCACTCTCACCCACACACAGAGGATGGAAACTCAGAATACACCCTCACACTTCCTCACCATGCATGTTCTTAAGTGTATACAAGCTCAAAGAGAGAAGAAATCAAGTAAAGGTGACAACTTGAGTTCAAAAATGGTGAAAGGAGGCAATGGAACAGTAAACCACCCTCAGCCCACCAAGTGCCTCACGTAGGAATTCTGGTCTGCCTAGGGTTATGTGCTAAAATGCATATATATAGCCACTAAGCCATAAAACACACAGTATTAACTTTAATTGCTACGCTTAACATTTTAATCCCAAACTTTGGATTATGAAACTACATAATTTTCTAAGATTTATCATATTTTTCTTATAATTTTCTGAGCACTTTTCCGGTACGCGCTTTTCCAAGCCAGTACCGGTTTCCAGCACCAGTTCTCATTATCTGGACTTGAAACTCGTTTTACAAGTCCTACATATTATTCTAGTAATTATCATGCGCTTACATTAATTTTCCGGGATACTTTTTCGGCACGCATTTATACCGACTAGCAGTACCGGTATCTGCACTTTTCTTCCGAAAAGCGACTTTCAGCATTCTTAATCACTTATTACGATTATTAAGCCTCATAAATAATTATTAAGGTCAATTATGGAATCATTTCCTAATTTTGCATAATTAATTAATTAAATACCTTAATTAACGGTGCGAGTTCTTACAGTAGTAGAGAGATATCACCCTCCGTGAGGGATTAGCTTTCCCGTTTGTTCCCTTTCTCTCTTTATTTCTCTTTTTCTCTCTCTTTGATCCATTCTTTTTCTGGTGAACCCATTGTTCATCGTCTTTTTCTGGATATTGCATCCTTATCAGTTTTCGGATACTCTCACGAGCTCTCCCACTCTCTGCGCGTGGGTGCCACGAGCCACCTTCCTCCAGCGCGTGAGGTATTCTCCGGTGGCAGTTCGCCGTCGACCAAGGGCAGACAAGGTCGCCCAGCCGTCCTCTTTCCAGATCTGTCTTCACTTCATTCAACCGACATTGTTTGGGTCGCGAGTGTGTGATCTCACGTTCACCGATTTGCGTTTCCAGATCTATTCATCTTCGGCCAGCATCCGCCGACGTCCATCAACACCGTCATCAGCCACCTCTATTCGAGCTTTGTCGTGTGTTGCTGTCTTTATTTTTGCCTTTATTTTGGCCTCCCATTCAGGGAGAACATTTATCTCTGTTGTTGCCTGGTCCACGGATTATTCGAGTTACACTGGCTCCGTCGGCTTGTATTCCAGTTGCAGCATTTATCTCTGTTGTTGCCTAGTCCGCTGATTATTCTAGTTACACAGGCTCCGTCGGCTTGTATTCCATTTGCAACAATGTCTTTTTCCCATTATCTCTGTTGTTGCCTGGTCCGCGATTATTCCAGTTACACTTGGCTCCGTCGGCTTGTATTCCAGTTGCAACAATGTCTTTCCCGACCCTTTAGGCTGATGTCTTTACCAGCTCTTCAAACTGATGGTCATTCCAGTTGCTTTGCTGTCGATTTCTTCGACTTATATTCTGTGAAGCATCCTTTTAGTTTTCTTTCTTCCCAAGATGAAGTGTCCTGATGTGAGTCTAGCATATGATGCTTTCTAACTTAAAAGAAGCAAGGAATTAATCATAAATGTGTGAAAATAGTCATTAAATGCAAGAAATATTGATTATTCCTTCTCAATCATGCTCTCACTCAAGTTATGTGTTTTAACAGCAGGAAACGCCACAAAAGGGAGCAAAAACGGAGAAGTCAAGTTTCCCGCTAGCGCACGGCACTCTGGAGTTGGAGCACGGTGCGCGGAATTGGCGCACGGTGCTCTGGAGTTGGCGCACGGTGCGCCGTTGACAGATTCAGCACTGTTTTCTCATGCACGGTGCGCCAGACTTGGCGTACGGTGCGTGGGCGATATAAATTTTATTCCAAATTAATGCGAATTACGCTAAAAAGGGCCCAATTGGAGGGCAAGTGGGATTAGGTTTTCCTAAAACCTAATAAAAGGATCAGAAACAAAGGGAGGAAGGAACTTTTTGACAATCAAGAAGAGAAAAACAACAAAGAGAGTGGGAATTCCTTGGAGCTTCTAGGAGATTCAATGATTCGATCATCAAGACGGAAGAGCTTCATCTTCCTTTTCTCTTTTAGGTTCTAAATGCTATTTTCTTTTCTTTTTATTTTGTCAGACATGAATATGGCTGGCTAGTTTTATTACTGTGGTAAGGGTCACAACCCTTGATGTGAACCCCTTGTGATTTGGTTAAATTTATATTCATTTATGTTAATTGAGTTTATTTTACCTTGTTCTTCATCTTATAATTCTTCTAGAACTGATCACTCTTTTAGGATTGCGAGAGTTAGGGTTTTCAATAGGAATATTAGAATTCTAATTCCTGACAATAGGTAAGATAACTGTTCATGTATGCACTAGGGATAGGCTACATGAATCGCAAACGTGAAAGATTCGCTGATTCGAAGGCTCAACTTAAAAAGGGATTTCTAAGGGATTAGGATTCTAATAGGGTTGATAAGGTTAAGATCATTAAGTAATTAAGGCTTAACCAATTAAATAAAAGATAGTGAATCGTTTGATCAATTGCATAATTGAATGTAAACGTTAATTCAAGTTACAAGGTGGGGATCATAAAGGTGTTGGCGTCTCTTTACCGCAATATTTTCTCAAATATTTTTCCAACCTTTAATCTTTTGTTCTTGAATTCTAAAAGAACTTTTGAATCATTTACATTTTCTTAAATTGTTCTCATTCATTCTACAAACCAAAATTGTTCTTCAAACCATTTTTATTAATCCAACAAGAGAGGAATAGTTGTAACAACTTCGATGCCTCAATCCTCGTGGAGATGATACTCTACTCATCATTTTATTACTTGGTACGATCGGTGCACTTGCCGATTTTACGCAACATGTCCCTCCATCTTGAAGGGGAGTATTTGATATATAGATAATATTTTATTTTAGTTTATTATGTTTGTTATTTTTCTTTAGGATGAGTTGTAGAGTTGTTACAACCCCCACTCGTTTATTTTCATGTTATATTTCTTAGTTTTTCTTGTTCAAACTTGTTGCTTATGATCTATACGCTCCAGCTTGAGGGAGAGTGTTAAAGAATATCTTTAGAATATCTTTATTATCTGTAAAGATATATTTCCTTATTTTATTAGGATTTAGGTTAGGTATGGGCTAAGCCCATTAGTATTTCTTTATATATTGTACTCTCTTGAATCAATTCAATATACAGATTTATTCTATTGTTTCTCTCGTCTCTTGTTATTTTACACTTTTGTACTACACCTTTACAAAAACAAGCAGAAAAATTGGTGATTTTTAAAAACATAATGTGGAAAAATTTGATTAATATAATAAACAGAAGAAATCCAAGTCCAGACTAGATAGATCACGAACGTAGCATGAATACAAAAGCCATTTTCAAATAAAGAGACAAGTATGTTGAAACAAAACAAAACCTACTCCTACTTAGGCCAACACCTCTCCTTTGTGTAAAGAGTGTAGCTGCAATATGTAAACTTTTCTTACATGAACATCTTAACATAGTTTCCTGGTTTGTTTGATTTGCGGTTAACAGAATACCACAGAAGGACAGAGAGAGAGAGACATTGTTTACTTGCCATAGTACATATTGTAAGGCTTACTAATAATCAGTACCTAAAAGATTTAGAAGAAAGTCTTTATAGTGGCCTGATGTGTCTGAACGAACAGCATGAGTTAATGGTTTTCCATATCTACTATAATATGCTGCTTTTATATGTTGCATGTCAATTTCAGTCCTTGTCACAATTACCCTTATTAGTCTACTATCATCAGTTCCAACACCCTTCATTGACTTGCGCAGAATCTGCAAAAAATCAAGGATAAGCATGTGTTTTTTTTTTTTTTTTTTGGTTGGCAATTTTGCAATGGAGACATATGTCAAAGTCGAAAAGCAAAGCCAAGCCTTATATCATAGGCAGGAGTAGATAAAACATGTCATAACTTTGAACTAATAAAAAATGTAATATTAGAAGTGATGTATGAATAATGAGAAGGTTGATGCAGTAAGGTTTGCTAAGTTATATAATGCACCAGTAAATAGCAATTACCAAGGGTGAAGGGAAATATAGAATATGGGAAAAGTGTGTCATTTTAAAGGATGTAAAGTTGTATCATTTTAAGTGAGAAAAAGAGATAGATAAAGGAGAAGAGAGTGGACCAAAAAAAATAAAAGTGTGGGTTCTACCTTTTTGTGAGAGTGAAATGATATAAGTTATAAAAGGACAAATACTTTCCGTATAGAATATACAGAATAGGGAAGAAAGCTTCAATTGGGGTGCTGAAGAGAATATTTACAGGAGAAAATCATAAATTTCATGTACGTGAAGAAAAAAGTACATAGTTTTTCATTTGCTAGATACTTTATAATAAAAAAAGTACAGAAGAACCGAAACAAAATGTAAAGCTTGATTAATATATAGAGCATGAGAAAGCATATAGAAATTTCTGGAGATGGCAAATTGGAACAACAACATACCTTGGCAAAGTACATAGCAGGGTTAGTAGCACATCTTAGTATGGTTAAGAGGCCACTCAAAAAATTGCCAGATATTTCCTTTTTTACTGCCTTCACAAGAAAGATGAGTTGGATTGTGCACAATGAATAAAGAGGAAAAGAAAGTAGGTAACTACTTGTTTGTACTAGGCATACCTTTTCCAGTGTGTTGCCAAATTCAGTTTGGTATGCAGAGCTAACAGCAGCCAAATGTGTGCAGCTTCTTTCACTAAAGATCTTTATGAACATCTTCTCATCAGTTCCTAATCTCTTCTCCCCTGATTTATACAATTGTTTCGCATCTTGTTGTACTATTCCATGATCCAATTCTGGACCTTCATAACGGGGTGTACTTAAATATGCAAGCAACAACTATTAAAGTATCCAAGATCCTTATGTCAGGATTTTATTACAGAAGTTTTCGTAAGGCTAAGACTATCAAGATATCAACAAAAGAAAAAAGTTTTCTAGACTGCTAAATTACAATGTACTTGAGTTTTGTAAGAATCTGATCAATCACAAGAATTGAATTTAGAAAATTATAGGATGAAACATATATACTCTTAAATGACACATGCTGTGAGCTAAAGTGAAGGTACTTGAATCCTTTTTAACACATACCAAACCATCTTCTAGATAAACTTCATTTATAAAATGGGGGGAGGGGCAGATCAATAATATAATTACCTTACTATCAACTACTTTTTTCATTATTTAACTTTATAGAGCATTTCCAAATGCATGCTAGCTTTCAGTTTAATATATGATATCACCTTACAAACCATAGTACAGATAGTGCACAAGCAAAAAAGAACTTGCAAAACTAGAGTAGCTAGGGATAGGGAATGGATCAAGCACCTTCTTGTAATCACCACTCGTTTGGTTTTCAATGTCATGCTCAAGAGGGGAATGAAATGTTGACAGATAAACTTCTTTCAATCGTCTAAGTTGTGATGGGGTACGAGAACAAATTATTTCTGTAATAGCTTGACAATCAACAACTGGTGCTGCAGTTAAGGCTTGCCTTGCAATGCTAGCATCCCGAGTAGCAGGATCATGCAGCCAAAGTAACAATGCTTTCTGAAAGTATTTAGAACAAAGAAAGGAAAAATAAATTTTCTTCTCATTTGAGAGTGAAAAAAAATAAAATAGAATCATCCTTCGGTTACTTCACAGCAATTCAATGATACAAACAAAAATACTTAGATAGAATTCAGATACGAAAGTAACACAAAATTATGGACATTCTTCTGTGTACCTTGACATTCCCATGAAGTTCTGAAGATATCCGTTTGGAAAGTTGTTCAGAAAAGGCAGTTTCATATTCTTGTTCAATGAGGCCTCGCTGTACTGAATCCCTGTGAGCAAGGATATTGATAACTTTAGATGTGTCACAGCCAAGTCCTGTAATGAGAAATAGTTTAGAGAAGGAACCAAAGTGCATCAAATTTTGAGCTGATATCTCACAAATAATAATTACTGAGTAATAAGATCACTCAAATGGTGATTTTATATATAATATCCAATTTACCTGAATTTTATATCTTATTCCTGTACAAGCATTAAGAAAAAAAATAAAAAACTATCTTATCATATTGAATCTGTTATTGACATTAGGGGTGTTCATCAACCGATCCAAACCGATTCAAATCGCGATAACCGAACCGAAAAACCGATAACCGAATAAACCGAAAACCGAAAAATTGAAAACCGAAAAAAAACCGCAAATTTTAATTGGATTGGATCGGTTTTTGGATGGGTAATCCAAACCGATCTAATATATTAATTCCCCTCTACTTACTTGGGTTTTTTTCCAATCATAGCCCAAAAATTTCTAAACCTAGGACTCATTAACCTATCAACTAAACCCAAGAAAAAATCTAATCACGTCTCATCAATTTTTTTTTTTATCTTTGTAGAGCTTCATATCTCATTATAAAAAAAAAATTATATTATAGTTTACTAATGCTTTTGTATTTCAAAATAAAATAAAATTACAAAGCCAATATATACAAAAGATGCTATTTGCACAATAATCATGAAATAAATTTTAGGATTTTCAAAAAACCGAAAACCGATCCAATCCAAACCGAAAAAAATTGGATTGGATTGGATCGGATCGGATTTGAAAAAAAATCTAAACCGAATGGATGATGATATGATCAAACCGAAGGGATTGGATCGGATGATTTTTGCTTCCAAAATCGATCCAATCCAGACCGCGAACACCCCTAATTGACAAATTGACATGGTCACAAAAAAACTTTGTGTCACTTGAGATATGGCTCTTGGGCTATTTCATTGGTGGATAACATCAAAAGCACATCAATATAGGATATGTTTTCATGATTATAAATTGATGGAGCCATCTCAAGAGAAGTTTACATCATCCTTATTTTAATAATACCGTTACACTGCTAATGGCTGAGTCAACCATAAATTGAGAAGTAGAACATTAAGGAAAGGCATGTAAATGATAATAGGAAAAAGGGTCAAAGGGAAATCTACAGATATGGGGGGGAAACATGGAGGAGGTGTAGGAATGGGAGAAAAATTCAAATGCACAAAGTTTGAAAGAGGATTGATGAGTTTGTTATATATGAAATATGCATGGTGTCATCATGCTTTGTCAAAATTTCCTCCACTTCACCTTCTTTTCTGCTTTATCTTCATCTATTCCTTCCATTTTCACCTCTACTAAGCAAACTAAAAGATGGACCTTTCCATTATCAGATTAATTATTGTTCATGCAATCCACATGGCGTAAATCCTTTGATATTGGTAAAATTATCAGAGCTTCAGCCTTCAATAGAATTAAAAAATAACTAGTCTTTTTTTATTGGTATTTAAAAATGATCACACTGATTTCAATTTATGTTCTTTCCTCAAGAATTCATCATGCAATCACCTAAGCTATGCATGGTGGCACTAAAAAACATTACAATATCAAAATGTGTATTTCTTTGTGTGCATTAACAACCTTTGAAAGCTTTATGCAGCTTGACAGCATCATCACGAGGCGATTGTAACACTGGAGGTAGGGTCAAAGTTGACATTCTCAATCTTTCTTCTGTTTTTCTGTGTCTCTGCCAAACAAATTAAATACTGCATGCAAACTTAAAAGGAATGGAGTTTTGTGAAGTTATTATTGGGGAGATAAGTTTTATCGTTATTTGTCCATGGCATTTTGAATGAAACACACAATAAACTTGTCAATTTGCTAATATTGGTATCTTATATAAGCTTAAATTTAGGACACAAAATATGCATTAGCTAATTTCAAGCACAATAATCCACAAATAGTAGAGCAATGGTTGCGAGATGTACGTTCCTCTAGAGTTTCATATATCCTTTTACGGAAAAATATTTCTACAGTTAATAATGCAGATAAGTTATCTGCATTTACTTTCAAAACGACGTCGTTTTAGGATTGAAAGATTAGAAAATTATAATTATAAAGACTATAATAACCCTGAAATAAAATAAAATTACAAAAATACCATGATTTCCGCCCAAAACGACGTCGTAATCAGTAACTGCAGAAAAAGAAAACCCATATAATTTGATTATTGTATAAATATAACTGATGTACAGATTGTGATCATTGAGGTGTTTATAGACAAAATCTTTGTAATTATGAAACATATATCAATATTACCGGTAGAACCAAAATTCAACATATAATTTTGGGATGAAAATTGAACATAAAGTAAAGTAAAAATATTTCCAAAACTCACCAAATTTGTCCAGCCACTATGGTGAGAGAATTTGTCAAGTACAAGATCTGCCACATGTCTAGTGCAGTTTCTTCTTCCACCACTTCACATTATTCCTTGCCTGATAGATTGAAAATAATTGCATTAGCAGCCTTCTTGTCAATTTTTGTCATCTCCACAGCTGACACTGTTTTTATTGGAATGGTTGAAATGGGTGTTGTTGTATTCGTTGTACTTGCAGTCGTGGCTTTACTATCAACTCATTTTTCTTCAGGCAATTTATCTCTTGGCAAAAGTTCCTTTTGCAACCCATGTTGGACCAAAATAGCATGTATCTTGTTGATGTGCCATAATCTAAAACTAATTTTGCAATCAAATTTCTCAATCTCATATTTGGCTAACATCTTTGAAGCTTTGATACCAATTTGTTACGAGCAGAGCCTCAAATTAAAAATAAAATTGGATTGGAATTAAAACTATATAAGATACATAAAGTAAGAGGAAAAAAAATAAAACGGTACACACATTTACATGGTTTGAGAGTGTGTCTACTCAATGGGCGAAGGAAGATCAAAAGTATGTGTAACATCCCCGTCTCGAGCCGGTTCAATTAACATGCATATGATACAAACAGAAACAGCGGAAGTCTTAACTTACAAAAATACGAGCTAACTTTTTCTTTTTCTAGTTTAATTCTTACTATGCGTAAACGAAAATCGGACAAAGTTTCCTCTATAAATCGGACAACTGAGGATTTTCCAATCCCACTCAGAAGAGTTTCCTGATAGACAGTTTATACAGCATATCAATCCAGAAGTAACAGTCATGCATATATACTCTCATACCCATCCATGGGCGCATGCACAACTTGGCTCCATGCCACTATATCTAATCAGCATGCAATCCAACATGTAAACATAAATTGAATACTACATCATCATATAACGTGCCTGGATACACAAATGTACATGCATCAAACTGACAGTCATGTACAAAACATATACATGCCATATACAAAATAAAGGATCAAACATCATGATCCACAAAATACTGAAATACTAAATAACATCACTGTACTCCAAAATACAGTAGCCCACCGCTATTCAAAATCCAATCTGTCGAAACGCCTCAACCACGGGTCCCGTCCTTGCCTAGTGAGGGCTCACCGGGGATTTGAGAACCTGAAATAATGTCCCCAAAAAGGGGTGAGATAACAATCTCAATAAGCTCCAGGTTTATAGAGAATTCTCCATACCCCTGGCTCACTCCTGCATGAAAGTCAGATACAGAGTATACATGGCACATATAACAGATATCATAACAGAACAAAGCATATATTCATATCATATCAGAGGCGTGCGCCGTCATTCCCAAGGGAGGACTCCAAGCGAAAATCAACGCATGTGTTCCCAAGGGAGGACCCCAAGCGGAACTAGAGCATATCAAAGGTGTACATCGTCAATCTCAGGGATACCCCAAGAAGACATCAGTGTACCATACGTCAATACATAAATCATATCAGAACAAGTCATATGATGTTATCAAATAACTCTATATGAATGTATCTATACAAAGTATCAACACAACAGTCATAAAGTCCAACCATAGCTCACTAACCATGGTGGAGCACTCAAGCAGGAAAAGACTCCTTAAACATAGAGCTTACCTCTTGAAGCTTTATCAATCTGCTTACTTGTGGTACAAGTTACTTATATTGCTTCAATAAAATTCCAATCATTTTCAGTCCCTAGGCACACCTAGAGAAGAATCCACAACAAAATCGATAAAATGATCCTATGCCATAATTCTTACATAAGGCATACATTTATCGCTTATTTTTGTTTCTTTATATTTTTGTCAACCCTATGCCAATACACAAGTCAAGCCCATAATTCTATAAATCCTCTTATTAGTCCTTTATTACATTTTTTTATTGCTCACAAGCCCCAAAGACTTTAAATGGCCGAAACCTGGCTAGGAAGGCTAGGAATTTCATTGAGTTAATTTAACAAACCAATAGTTCCTAGAACTTCACTTGTTTCCTAAGTTCCATATAGCAATTTAGAACACATCCTTTGGCCTATCCTTTCTTTCAAGGCCGTGGCATGCATATAAGGAGGCCAAGGTATTTTTCATCATTTTTCCAACTATCTCACTTCTTCAACTCATCAATTTCATGCATTGGAGACTTCCCATTTTTATCAAAATAACATGTAACTTAATTTATCATTAAGTCATCCTAAATCACCCTAAGGGCCGAAATCCCTAAGAGAATTTCCAAGGTTTCCTTTCTTTTTCCATTTATTTTCTTCACTTAATTTTTGCAACTTATATATACATACCACCTTCACAATCCATATCATTAAATTTTTGCACAATGAACCCTCCATAACCCTATATGGCCGAAACCTAAAGGGAGAAGGCATAGGATTTTTTTTCCAATTTTGTTACATACATACTCATGCTTATTTTTCCATTCCTATATACAAAACATCAAAAATCCATCATCAATTTAATTTTAAACTAATTTATTTCCCACCCAACACATGCTCACAATTCTCATGACTCAAATCATCAAAATGAAACCATGTAAAAAAAGGTTTCTTACCTCTAAACACTTGTACAAAGCCTAGAGAGCAACCTCCAATCAAAGCTCCATTTTTCACCTTTGATGAATAGTGAACCGAAAAGAGGGTGATGAATATCTCCCTCCACAAACGAAATCAGCCCAAATGGAGGGGTGGAATGGCTTCCTTGGGTGATTTCCTATGAGTTTTGTGTGATGGACCTGAGGATTTGGTTGATGATTCAAAGAGAAATCAAAGAAGGAAAGCTTGAAGTCAAGCTTCCATGGAGGCTACGGTGAGAGAGAAAAATAAAGAAAGCAAACGCGCAGGAAAGAAAGAAAAGAATACTGAGTGTCACGTTTTCTAAGTATAAAATAGGTTAAGTTACTTTAACTAGGTAATAGTTTATCTATCTACACACCTTAATTCCATACCAAACTTTACCCAATGAACTAGAATATTTTTCTAGTCATATTTCTAATTTTACTTTCACTTTTCGGGTAACTTTGTTTACCCGCATTTTTATCCCTTAACTGTCATTTTAACTCCTTTTTCACCAAAGGTGACTTTATTTCTTTTAATTCTAATTATTCTTCAATATTAAATCCATAATTACTAGTGAGGGTTATTATATTCACCCTACATATTAAGGATTTTGCCCACAAAATCAAACATAAGACATAACACATACCTGGCGTCAAACCCAGGATATTGCTGGAGAATTTCGTTCTCCCGCTCCCAAGTAGCGTCCTCAGGAGTCAAGCCTTCCCAGTGTACCTTAATCATGGGAATCGTCCTGTTTCTTAATACTTTTTCATCCCGAGCTAGAACCTTCAACAGCCCCACAACAAACTTCAAATCTTTCCTTACTTCAATATCGTCCCGCTGGACAATATGGGACGCATCAGGTACGTATTTGCGAAGCTGACTGATGTGAAAAACACTATGCAGATTTGACAGATGTGGAGGTAAGACAAGCTGGTATGCCACAGGTCTGACCCTCTTTAGAATCTGGTAGGGCCCAATGAACCTATGACTCAACTTCCTCACTCCTAGAGCACACCCAACACCCGTAGTCGAAGACAAACGGATAAACACATGATCCCCTTCAGAAAATTCAAGGGGTCGATGCTTTGCATCATAATAACTCTTTTGGCGGCTCTGCGCTTTCTTCAATCTATCCTTAATCATCATAATCTGATCGGTAGTCTCTTGGACCATATCGGGCCCAAATAACTGCCTCTCACCAATTTCTGACCAAAAAGTAGGCGCCCTGCACCTACGGCCATACAAAGCCTCATAGGGAGCCATGCCCAAACTGGCATGATAACTATTATTGTAAGAAAATTCCACCAGAGGAAGATACTTATCCCATGCATTTCCTTGCTCTAAGGCACAAGCCCTCCACATATCCTCCAGGGTCTGAATAGTCCTTTCAGTCTGACCATCAGTCTGGGGATGATAAGCCGTACTCAGCCTCAACTGCGTACCGAATGCCTGTTGCACTGCATCCCAAAGTCGAGAAGTAAATTTAGGGTCCCGATCACTAATGATACTTTCAGGAACACCATGAAGTTTCACAATCTCCCTTACATATAACCGAGCCAACTGCTCTATAGAGAAACTCGTTTTGACTGGTATGAAATGTGCAGACTTTGTCAATCTGTCAACAACTACCCATATATAATCAAAAACAGCATGAGTTCTCAGTAATGCTACTGCGAAATCCATAGAAATACTGACCCATTTCCATTCTGGAATATCCAAGGGCTG